AAACAGCTTGAAGTCTCGACTAAAGGTCTTCAGACCCTCTCAATCTGAGTCTCTAGCGGGCGACTAACCTCCACCGGAGTAAACAGATTGAGGCCCTAAGAACAAAACCTCCACTACCGGAGTAAATCCGGTACAGAATAGTGAGTTGGTTCCTCGACTAAAGTCACCAACTCCCTACCTTCAATCAAGGATGCTCTATCAACCTAGGCAGTTATTCTCATTCTAGGTTAAAGCAGAAACAACAGGAATTTGATCAGGATTCAAGTCATTCAATCATTAAAACCTCAATCGAATATAATCAATCATAGAATCAGTACTTGGGTTCATACAATCAAACCTAACATAAAAATCTAGGGTTCTCCATACCCAGATGAATGGGAGAACTACTCCATGGAGAAGAAAGTAAAAGCAGAATCAGACGCGGAATTCATACTATGAAGGATGGATTCCTGCTCCTGGACGTTGATCGGCACTTCTCCAAGCTCAAGCTGGCCTCCAATGGTGTTGAAGATCAATATAGGGCACTTGGAGACTCTTGTTCGTCGCTTTCTCTCTCTAGGAATCATTTTCTCTCTCAAAAACTCGAATCCTCCTTCTCTTTGGCTGAAAATCTGCTTAAAAAGGCATCAGTGGCCAAAGCACGGTCGAGGACACGGCCGTGCTTTGCCTGAGTCCGCCCGTGCCACGGCCAGTGTTAATTACACGGCCAGCAGTTGGGGAGAAACACGGCCGTGCTTCGCGTTGGACACTGCCGTGCTTTTGTGGAACACGGCTGTGCTTTGTCTCGGCCCCGCCCGTGTAATCAACTCAGCTCTCGGCATAAAAAGCACGGCCACAGGAACACGGCCGTGTAATGCCTTAGGTGTGCCCGTGTTTTGGCCCCAGCTTGACGAAATGACCTCCGAATGCCCCGAAACTCGTGGTTAGCCTTCTCTTTGACGCCTGGGACATGAAATATGACAAAATAGCACAACCCGACGTAAAATAGGCCAAAACACACGACTATGCCCCTCAAACGGATAAGAACTAGGGGCGCAAACATGTGCAATTACATCGTTATCACTAAACGAAAGAAATGAGAGGTAAAATGTGTACATTTGAGCCCGAATCACAAAGCTTATGGTCTTGCCAGGGGGTGCAGCAGGGAGACCCTTTCAGCCCCTTGCTTATTGCTTTGGGGTTGCATCATTTAGTGTGCAAGATCATAGACTCTTTTAATTTGAGTATGTATGCCTGGTATTTGGATGATGGCACCATCGTGGGGGACACTTTAGTTGTTGGTAAGGTCTTAGACATGATTACGGATGAAGGCCCTCAATTTGGCCTTCACTTAAACGTGGTTAAGATGGATGTTTTTTGGCCTACCGAGGATCCTAGGAGTTTTCTTCAAAGTTTTTTCCCAGCCTCTATTGCTCGGCCTTCGCATGGTGTCACCGTTCTGGATGGTCCTGTCAGTTCTTATCTTGATTTTAGTAGTGAGATTGTGGTGAAGAGAGTTATCAGGACTTCAAGCTGATGGACTTGGTTGCGAGGATTACAGACCCATACTGTGAGTTGCTTTTTTTTGTGGGCTTGTACTGGTATTCTAAACTCTACTTTTCTTTGCGTACTTGCTCTCCTCGTGTTTTTGGGTCGGCCCAGCTATCATTTGACACAGCTCTTCGTTCTATTTTAGAACATATTGTCACTGCTTATGGGCCTGGGTTTGGTGATTGGCAGTTGAGGCTTGCCGCCTTCCCTTTTCATTTGGGCGGGCTTGGGGTTTATGCTGCTGGAGATGTCCTACATTATGCTTTTTTGGCATCCCGTTTGCAGTCTGCGGAGTTGCAAGCTAAACTCTTAAGTCCTCTGATATCCTATCTCCTGGTCCTTCTTTTGATGATGCCCTACACATCTTTAATGAGTTTACATGTTATGATTTCTTATGTGACCCTAGTGGAGTTGCTGCCCCAAAACTTGTGAAGAAATTGGCAGACATATATTTCGCGAAGGTTGCTGCTAGTTCAGATTATGTTTTCTCGTTGACTATGCATCAGAGTGTGCACTCTTCTGATTGGTTTAGTGTTGTTTCTATTGCTAGGTTTGGAGAGATTATGAATGGGAGGACATACGTAACGTGCTTAGTTCTCGACTGAGTGTCCTATTCTTTTCGATATCCAAGCCCAGTCCTGCTTGTTCCCGTGTCTTTCATCATGATATCTTTGGAGATCATGTTGTGTCCTGTGATGGTATTGTGGGCATTAAGCATCGACATAACCTTGTTCATGAAACCTTACTGGACATCTGTTATAGGTCTGGGATTTCTGCCGATAGAGAGGTTGATATCGGTTTGGTTGATGGGCATGGTGGATCCCTTCGTCCTGCAGATTTGTTGCTTTATTCATGGAACAGGGGACGAGATGTGTATGTTGATCTGACTGGATCTTCGCCTTTGACTCAAACTGGGATGACTGGTTTTGTTCCTGGACGAGTTGTAGCTAATCTTGCTTAGCGAAAGTGTGCCAAGTATCGGAACTTGTGCATGGCAACTGGTTACAGTTTCCTGCCCTTTTCCTTTTATTCTCTAGGAGAGTTGGATAAGGATGTCGTGGCTTTGCTCAGGCGGATCCAAAAATTTTCTGTGTCATAGAATGTGGGGGCTCGAGCAGCTGCGTACATTTTTACTCGACTTAGCTTTGCTATAGCTAAAGGAGTGGGAGCCCAGTTTGTATCTCGGCTGCCCACTAATTTTTTGTAGACCTTTGTTTGTTTTGTTTTCCACTATAATGTAGATAATAATAAATCTGATTTTTCTAGGCATAAATATTTGAAATCCAAATTAAAACGTAAGAGATATGATTCATTCAAATCTAAAAAAATAAAAAGTAAATCTAAGAGGAAAATTCGCTTCTCTATTAATAGCGGTCAAATCTAGGGATGATAATAAAACCCAAACTCATGGGTACCATACCCGACCCAACCCTGGTAAAACCTGTGTTGACGGGTTGTGGACCGAGTTCGGGTTTAAACTCGTTCACTATTCACTGGGTTGGGTTTGGGTTTAGGTATACTCACCCCATGGATACCCATCCACATCCATATAATTAATTTTCTCGGTATATTTAATATTCTAAGCAACTAATCTTCTTTATATTTGTGGAGACATGTCTAATTTTTTCTTTCTAATTGTGTAGAATGAAGTTGATATTATCGAGTGGAGAGTGAAGAAGCTTAATTGACAAGGAGGAAGAAGCTTTAAATTAATCATGTTGTTTATGGATAATTTGTGATTTGCTTCAATTTTCTTGAGTTTTCTAGATTGATGTTGAACAATTTGTATGGTTAATTGGTGATTTGCTTAAATTTTCTAGAATGGTGTTTTATATATGGATAATTTGTATTGAGAGATTGATATTTGACTTTTATTTTGATAGGAACTTGTTATTGTAAATTTTGTACAAAAGAAACCCATGGGTACCCATGAACCCACGGATACACAGCGGGTTGGGTTTGAGTTTTCCAAACCCAGTGAATTTTACTCCGAGTTTTTTCCGTAGATAAACCTATGAATATAGTTTTAGGTTTGACAAAATCCTATCCAACCCGATCCTTGTGAAATCTATTTTATTGTTTTTATCAACTCCTCTGTTCATTTCACTCAAATCCAACAAATGTATGAACTTTGGCAGCTACCAAAATGTACCTCATTTGGCACTATAGTCGGACTCTCCAATTCACAATAGGATGAAATCATCCGCAGATCAAACCAAACATATTTATATGATTTGATTAGTTTATGTTTTGATAGCCTATGTTTGGTCCAAGTTTTAAAAGTGTTTTATGAGTCCAAACGCAGAAACTGGGCCAAACACCACTAAAAGTCGGACTTTTAAAAAAGCTCAAAAGTGCTTTTTATAATGCAAAAGCTCCAGCGATTGGCTTTTTTATAAGCCGCTGATATATTACTTTTTTATCCTTATTCTAGCGGGAACTATTGATTTCCCTCCATAACTTCCCGCCTTGCTATCACTCGTTGTTGCCTCCTTATATATATATATATATATATATATATATAGGGTTTTCTTTTCCCTCGTCCATTTCTCATATCAGGTTTCTCTTTTGTGTGGGCTGGGCACTGCGCATGTTGGGCATCATTGAGAAAAGAACTCCAGTAAGTTCTCATCTTACTTTGTTCTCGTCATATTTACCTATTGATATTTCTTGACCAATGCATTCATTCCAATTCTATTATTTTATATGTTGTGTTCTAGTCTTGAAATTCTAGGTTTGGTGGAAACTTTAGCTTTGTTTTATTCAATCTCATTCTTTATTTGTTGTACGTGTTCTAGATCTGATTCTAGATTGTATTTTTATTGATTAAGAGACTTGTTTTGTTCCTTATGTATGATGGGTGCAATGATAAGAAAACCTTATGTGAATTTTATTTAATGAACAATAGTTATATTCTATAATTGTTGTATGTTATTTGACATATAGAGTAGAAAGAAATTTCAAGAACATAATGTCAAAACTTCAAGAAGGATTTTCTTAGCAAACTAATCGATCGCAGAAGGCACAATGGGATGACAAGTCTATTAGAATTTTCTGTGAGGTATGTGTTGAAGAGGTTAATGTCGGAAATGGTCCCGGTACTCATTTAAAAAAAGGGGTTGGAGTAACATAGAAGCAAAGTTCCAAGCAAGGACACAAAACAAGTATGTCTACAAGCAGCTAAAAAACAAGTGGGATACTTTGAAGAAAGAATATGGAATATGGAGAAAGCTTGTCCAAGGAGAAACTGGGTTAGGATGGGATAACGAGAAACACACAATTGTAGCTGACGATTGGTGGTGGGAATCAAAATTGAAGGTAATGAAATCATTTATATATGTTATTTAGACATCAATTTTATATTTTACACTTGTTCGATTTCTATATATATTGTGCTTTTTTTACAGACTCAACCTGAAGCTGCAAGGTTTCGTCATGCACCATTGGAGAATCTAGAATTACTGGAAATTATGTTCTCTAAGATTTTGGTGACAGGAGAAGGTGCATGGACATCTTTGGATGATGGCACAAATGGAACCGATGCCAATACAAATTCTCCATCACAAGTAGAAGCAATTAATTTGATGGATGATGATGAGTTCTTAAACTTCACTATCGGTACAAATAGGCAGGGAAACAATCCCGCGTACAGTGGAGATAAGAGGACAAAACCAATGGACGAGACACCACATGAACAGGTGATGAAAATTGTGAAGAAGAAAAAAGTTGGAACTGCAGGTCACTTCCAAAAGCAATTGGATCGACTAGTTGATGTTGTTGAGATTTATGCTGGCTCAAGGACTCAAGCTAAGAAAGATGAGAGAGTCACCTATACCATTTCAGAATGTATGGGATTTGTCAAAGGTCTCCCTGGAGTGGACAATGCTCCTGAACTCATTACATGTGCAGGTCGATTATTCAAGGATATGGATAAACGGGAGATCTTCATATCATTAGGGACACAAGAGTTGCAGCTACATTGGCTTAAAAGAAGAATATGAAAGGGAGAAATAATTTATTTTCAAAAAACAAAAATTCATAAGTTTAGTGTTGAATTGAGAACATTTTTCTTTTATTTGTTGCACAAATCGAACAATTTAGTTATGCTTTTCTCATGACAATGGCTTATATATTATGGAGCATTTCTACTATGCTATATAGTAATGGTGATTTAATGTACAACTTAAAGTTGTACCATAACATTAAATGTATAAGTTTAGGTTGTACCATAAAGCAATTTGTACCATTATGTTATGGTACAACTTTACAACTTGAAGTTGTACCATCACATAAAGGTACAAGTTCAAGTTGTACCATAAAAGAATTTGTACAAAAAGTATAGGTACAATCTGAAGTTGTGCCATTACATAAATGTACAATTTTAAGTTGTACCATAAAGGCAAAAACCTATAGCACCAATACTATATAGCATTGTAAAATTTCTCATATATTATGAAATTTTACTTATAATTTGGTTTATGATTTTCCTCTTGATATATCCCTCTCTTAGATTTGCGTTTGCCGGTTTATCATTTCAACATTGAGTGATTCTTTGATTTGAAAACAAATGAGTTCCGAAGGCGAAAGGGTGGACGAATCACAGGAACTTGAAGATATGATTTTCTTTGCACTTGCTGCTATGGGAGCTGGCATGATCAACAATTATTACACAAAGTATTTATCAAAGCAAGAACCAAGAGTTTGGAGACACTAAATACCCCAGGTGAAAGTTTTTTTTTATAATGGCAAACTGGAAATAATAAGAATGAAAAGAAAGTACAGAGAAAGCAAAAATCGGCCAGCAGTCACTAGGGATTACTGGAAAAGGCCAAGAGGTCCGGAAAGAGCAAAAAGAATAAAAAACAAAATCAGCCAAAACATCAAAACAAAGAACAGACACCGTTAGACAGCGTAGCAAACCGTCACGCAGCCTCAAACAGTAGACTCAAAAGAGAGGCCAAGCAGCCCAACCACAACACCAACCCCAGACGATGATCTATAAAAGAGCAGCAACCAACACATAGATTTGTTTACGGGTTTGGCTAACTTGCTACTCAATAATTATGGGTTAAAGTCATCTCTAAATATGAGGGCGGAGGAGGCACTTGCTATGTTTTTATGGACATGCTCAATGAGAGAAACGAATCGTCATGCACAAAATAGGTTCAAACACTCCGGAGAAACTGTTAGTAGAAAGTTTGAAGAAGTGATTGATTCTTTAGTGATTTTTTCTAAAGATATTATCAAGCCACAAGACTACAACTTCAGAGAGGTTCCGAAGAAGATTCGTCATGACAAAAAGTACTGGCCTCACTTTCGTAGATATATTGGCGCGATGGATGGTACTCACATCACCACTAAGGTACATGAGGAGGAAAGAGCCCTATATATTGGAAGAGAGGGAATTTCAACACAAAATGTGCTAGCAATATGTGATTTTGATATGCTGTTCACATTTTTTGTAACGGGTTGGCCTGGATCTGCTCATGACACTCGAATACTTATGGATGAAAAAGCAAAGTTTGGCAAAATATTTCCTCATCCTCCTGAAGGTAACTTACCGAGCATTAAATTTAATCCTTCTATCATCATATTGTTTTCAAATGGGTTTTACTTATATGATCTTTTATTCATGCAGGTAAATATTATCTTGTGGATGTTGGATATCCGAATATGACAGGGTATTTGGCACCATACAAGGGACCACTGCTAAGATATCACATCGTTGAATTCCAACAAGGGGGGTGAACCAACAGGTTTGCAAGAGATTTTCAATCATGCACATTCTTCTCTTAGAAATGTGATTGAACGCACTTTTGGTGTTTGGAAAAAAAGATGGCGAATTTGGAAAAATCCACCAACTTTTGCTATCGAAAAACAAAATAAGGTTATTGCTGCTACTATGGCTCTCCACAATTATATTAGAATGAATGCTATTTACGACGAGGAGTTTCAAAGGTGTGATGAAGATCCAAACTATCTAGTTGAAGTTGGAGATTATGGAAGTCAAGGAGAAAGAAGAAATGAAAGCACTATTCCAGATGATAGATTCATGAACTCTGTTCGTGATTCAATTGCTGCATCACTCATAAATCATAAATGATTCATTTTTTATGTTTTTTATTGGACTGTTTTTATTATCTAATATTTATTCTTGTAGTGGCTTATGTTAGATGATGTTCATGTCTGCAAATTTTCATCATCTTCTTCTTGATATCACTTTTTCTCTTTTCTCTACCTTATTTATTTTAATGGGTGCCTCCTGTTCTATTTCCCTCCACCGAGTACTCATTTGGCGCCAGGATTTGAAGCACGTTGGCCTAAAACAATCAAACATTTGACTTATGTTAGGTACTGCGTCTGTATTGATGTCTATTTTAGTAATTGATTATACCCTATGTTTAGCCCGGCTTTTAGAAGTGCTTTTCGGGTTCAAAAGCTGAAGCAGGGCCAAACACCTGTAAAAGCTCGACTTTTGAAAAGCCGAAAAGCACTTTTGTATGACATAAAAGTAGAAGCTCCGATTTCTGCGAAAAGATGTTTTGAAAATACAAGATTATCCTTACCATATTTTAATTTTATTTCAAAAAATATAATTTTACTTCATTTATATCATTTTAAAAATAAATTTAATTATAAACTTATATTATTTAATATAAAAGAAATCTAACAAGATCCATTTTGACTACTTTTTATTTTTTAGAATTTTTATTTTATATTATAAGTCCTTTATAGTTTTTTTGCACAATCTCTCACATTAAAAGCACTTCTAATAGTTTTACAGCCAAACACTCAATTGCTTTTTTTGAAAAGTACTTATCTAAAAGCTCCAGCCAGAAGCTGCTTCTGCAAAAGCTATAGCAGGGCCAAACTAAGCTATAATAATCAAAGCCAAAGGTACTTTTAATACGATTGAACCAAATAGCTTCTTTGGTAAAAAAAAACACTTTTACAATATAATTGCCAAACAATAAACCGCTATTTTTGAAAAGCGCTTCTTTAAAAGCTCAAACCAAAAGCTGCTTTTACAAAAGCTACAGCAAGGCCAAACTGAGGTATACTCTTTAGAAGAAATTCACAGTTACTGGTTTTATATTACAGTTTTTAAATTTTCCTGTGGGGCATCTATTAAATCCTTTTTAATGGTCGTCTTTTTAATCTTTGTTTTGCGGTTTTGCCTTTTAATCTGGTTTTAGAACTTCAGGTTTTTTTTTTCAGCCTCCGAAATACCAGGATCCGGCTGTAAGAAAATTAAACTCCAATAACCGAAAAAAGTAAACTCCGATTTGGTGGATAGCTATAATCATTCTTATAATTGGTACATACACACAAAGCTAATAAACATTGGTCTCATGTGGTGAAAAAGAAAATAATCAATACCATATATGTCCAATCCCTTTCACTATATTTAAAAAAAAATCCGTTTCATTATTGGTAACTCCAAATGTCTTTTCACGATCGATCAGCTTATCCCCTCACCGGGACTTTTCTTCAATCCCGACGAAACCGTTATCTTGTCTTTGCTTCGTTTTGTCTAGAATGTGACACGAGGAAAAATAAGTTATGGAGCAATGCAACAGAACTTTAACAAGATTGAAGTAGCAAGGAGATCCACAGAAAGTGGTGAGTAGTTTGGACGTGCAAGGTAGATGGATATATAATTTGCCTTGTATGTTTCACACCTTTTTTGTCACATTGTGCTTACAAACGCAATCTTTATGAAGCCAAATACATTGAGCACCACCAACAATGGGGTAGCTGTAAATTTTGTCTCATTGGTAGAAAGCACACCATTAAATGCTTCTTTAGTATCCATGATACTGGTTATTAACATGACTTGTAACCGGTATCTGTAAATATACCCATTCTTTCTCATGTCTACCTTGCCATAATTTGAGTGTTAATCGGTTCAGTTTAGGTTAATCACGGACCAAAATGTCAGTTAGTGGTTAATCACTAAGCAAAAAACTTATACCAATTACCAAACCGACAAGCCTTATCTGTTAATAACTTCTTATCAGTTGGATTAGCGATTATTTTGGTGATTAACCAATAACTACTAAAATAGATTTCCACAAGTAGGGTTACCTAATCAAATCAATAGCTTCGATTTTATTTCACGAAGAATAATCGACCAAAGCAATAACAACTTATAATACACAAATCATCATCCAGTTAAGTTTAACAAGTGTCATTTAACATCAATTTTAGTCCATAAGCATACCAATGACCAAGAGTATAGAGTACTAAATATTAAAGACGAATAATCATACAAATAATTCAAAATGATTTAACTACTTCTACATTATTAATAGAAACTAATGATTATAGAAAATAATATCAATATAATACAACATTCATCATGATTCTGTAATTTAAATTGAAATTATAATTCATAAAATAAAAAATAATTAAACCTATTCATCCAATTAACGAGTACCAACTACCAAGACATCAACACAAGCACCACAAGATCATCATCATTCACAACGATCAAAGAAACAAAGATTACCAGAGTGTCAGGTTCGCTCTGACAACTGCAAGGGGAGTTAGAGAGGGGTGACTTTTGGGTTCTAACTCTTAAACACATTTTAGTCTCTTGGTGGAGGGTTGTTTGCAGTAGGCAGGAATTGAGATGTTTAGAATTGCGACTTGGGTTGGTTTTGAATCTTTGAACTTTTCCCCTTAGCCAAAGTCCAAAACTATATAGTTATATTAGTAGGCGGTAATCGGTTTTCTTATCGATTTACCATCCAATTTGCATCATTAAGTTATGGTGCACTAGTAAACGATATCTTAGAATAATTAGCTGACTTTTAACCTCTACGAAGTGGCCATGGTCTAGCTAGCAATTCACACCAGCCCTTATAATATTTGCCAAGGTGATTATCGGAGTTTCTATAGCCGTTTGGTTGGTGGGGATGACCAGCACAATCGACATTAGCTTGACAAGATTTGCCTAGCCCGTCATGATCATCTTTACCACACCACTCTCATACGG